TTCTTTCAAATCTCACTCCATTTTGAAATATGTTTGTAAATTTCTTAAAACAGATCTATGTTATCATCCAGAGGCGTATTCAGGGGGGGCTATGGGGTCTCAGCGCTCCCCTGGAACAGCGAAATCTATGGATTTCAGCCTTTCAGGGAGTTGTCAGGCCCCTATTGATGCTATCGAGTCCCCCCCCCCGTAAAGAAAAAAGTGTTAGCCCCAAATTCATGAAAAACTGCCTGCCCCTGCAGGCAGTACATAGGTCTGTAAACAAGTGTTTTTCGGAAGTATGTGTGGGGTGAGGGAAGGCAACCTCCCCTGCGCAGCTTCCGAACCTCATTTTACCTATTTGCGAGAGTGCGCTTCCCCAGGACTTCCTAACCTCCCCCCAAAAAGTCTTCCAGGAATGATCTTCCATTTATAGTCATTAATTTCTACTTTAAACGTAAATAATTCGATTATTTAAGCACTTTAGAGCATCTACAGTGTTCTTAACATTTTCATAATATTTCTTTTTTACATGTCTAAGTTTAACGTTCTCTTGAAAGCTATCTAAAATATATTTTGTATTTTGTATTTACAAAATAACAAAAATTCCCTTTTGATATTTCCTTTATAACTGTTGTACATCATAAAACTCTGTTCACAAAAGATATTATGAATTGTGATTAGAGTTAAAGACTAGAAACCTTGAAATTAATGACTGTGCAATGTGCATACAGAAAATTTTTGCTTGCATGCTATAGCTGGAAATTATTTTTAGAACAAGGAAAATAGTTTCTTTTTTCTTAAAATATTAAAAATGATTTTAAATATAAGATTTTTACATATCTACTAAAAAATGTGCCTAATCATTTATTGAAGAAAAGGTTTTCGAAAAGTTACCTTAACATATAATATTGATAAAATAAATATATTTTTTAATAGAAATGATTACATATAAATTCAGGGGCGTACGATCGGGAGGGGGGGCCGAGCCCCCCGGCCCCGCGAGGAGGGGCTCTTTTAATATTACATATGCTTGCATTTCCCTTCCTCAGGCAATCTATATTCTACATTGCATTGCATTGCACTCACCCAAACTAAAGATTAAGAAAAGAAATAAAATATATTCTGATTCACAACAATACCCTTCAAAGCTTGGTCTGATCAAGTGTTGCATTGAATATCCATGATTATTTTTATTTGTGGTTTCTCTACAAAAGTAACTCGTGCATTTCTTGCTTCAGAAACGATGGAGAAATGAAGGTTTCAAGGGTACATCCACGGGGGCTGGATCTTAGCTACCTCTCCGTGTGTATTAGCCTGAGTTTATGCACTTGGGATAGTTTACTGATAAAGGATATTAAGAGATTATGGCATATTCATACAATACAAACATCAAGTATGCAGTACGCTTTCGGAGTACAAGTGTGTGGGGAGGTTTTGTATCTTGAATTTTACTGTTTTCTCAGAACCGTTTATTAACGATGAAATATTTCTTTGTAAAAGACTGTAAAAGTGCGTCTTCCTGTGAAAATGTAATCTTTCACACGATAAAGGAGTAGTGGATTTTAATAGTTACATTGACAGCAAATTCTCCATTTAAATGTTTTCAGAAATCACCCCCGAGTGCTGTAATATACAGATTAACCTGTGGAAGTGAAGTACGTGGCCTGTACATAACGTACATCAACCCTCTATATACTATAACCTCGTTGGGCACATCGGACATGCCACTCATCTCACTTTTGCCCTTAAATAAAAAAGTTTCATTAAAAAATCTTTAATCAATACTGCCTTAAGTGTAAATATTTGATATCATAATTTATAAAATGATATGTATCGGTCCTATGAAAATATAGATATTTTTAGAAACGTTTCCATCTCTATTTTTCATCCCTTGAAGCTTACACCACAGTATTAAGAGGGAGTGTCTGATGAGTCCACTTAAGAAAATTACATAAATAATTTATTAACACTTGTATAATATGAAAGTGTGTATATGATAGAATAGTTTACATAGTTAAAAAGGTATCAATATTTTTTCAAAAAGTGGGTTTATCAGGGGGGGGGGCGCAAAATGTCCCCCCCCCCCTACACAAATGCTTTCGTACGCCCCTGTATAAATTGTTGTTTTGGAATATAATTATACATACTTAATTACATTTATACATGTAACGATGTAGGATATATTTATAGAATAAGCTGCTAAAAAAAAACGTTTTAATGTTTTTAAAAATATTTCAAATATAATATGAATATCCTGGAATCCCTGGAAATAGTAAATGGAAGATTCTATTAAAACAATAAAAACTTTGATATCCATTTCTTTCAGTTTCTTTATTCTGCATTTTCCTTCGAAAATACATAATTCGGCCATATCTATTCTGTAGAAGGAAATATATCATATCTGAGCATAGATCTCTCTAATATTAGTTGTTTCTTCAAAACAAAAACAACTATTTCCAGAGAATTATAAAAGAAGGAAAAAATATAAAACTAGCAAAAAATGAAACTGAAACTGTTGAAGACTACAATTATAAGGAAGTATCAATTATAAAGACTTCAATATTCAAGAAACATGAACTGTAAAGATTACAATTATCAGGAATTCCTTAATTAATTAAGTATGAACTACAAAAACTTCAATATTCAGGAAACATGAACTATTAAGACAACAATTATAAGGAAGTATGTATTATAAAAACTTCAATATTCAAGAAACATGAACTTTAAATTCTACAATTATAAGGAAGTATGAATTACGAAAACTTCAATAATCAAGAAGCATGAACTGTAAATACTACAATTATAAGGAAGTATGAATTACAAAAACTTCAATAATCAAGAAGCATGAACTGTAAATACTACAATTATAAGGAAGTATGAATTACAAAAACTTCAATAATCAAGAAACATGAACTGTAAAGACTACAATTATAAGGAAGTATGAATTACAAAAACTTCAATAATCAGGAAACATGAACTGTAAAGACTACTATAATCAGGAAACCTGAACTGTACAGACTACTATAATCAGGAAACCTGAACTGTAAAGACTACTATAATCAGGAAGTATGAATTGTAAAGACTACAATAATCAGGAAACATGAACTGTAAAGACTACTATAATCAGGAAACCTGAACTGTAAAGACTACTATAATCAGGAAGTATGAACTGTAAAGACTACTATAATCAGAAAACTTGAACTGTAAAGACTACAATAATCAGGAAACTCGAACTGTAAAGACTACAACAATTAGGAAACTTGAACTGTAAAGACTACTATAATCAGAAAACATAAACTGTAAAGACTACTATAAAGAGGAAACTTGAACTGTAAAGACTACTATAATCAGAAAACTTGAAGTGTAAAGACTACTATTATAAGGAAGGTTGATCCAAGAAATTGTGACTATTTGACGTATCAAAAATGTGTACAATATATTAAATTCTAATTCTATT